CACTTTCTACAATTTCAATTCACTCAAAACTTTTCGATCAATGGACAAAAGCATGAATCGTCCCTGGGTGGGCTTGAACCACCAACCTTTCAGTTAACAGCCGAACGCGCTAACCGATTGCGCCACAGAGACAACTATGAATTTATTTAATTTTTTGGTCTGCCTGGTTAGCTCAGTCGGTGGAGCATAAGTCTCTGGAGTTGCTCGAACTTAGAGGTAGGTGACAATAAATTGAAAGGTTGCATGTCAGCCTGGCTAGCTCAGTCGGTAGAGCATGAGACTCTCTCAGGGTCGTGGGTTCGAGCCCCACGTTGGGCGCATAATGTTTTCATCACTTTCTACAATTTCAATTCACTCAAAACTTTTCGATCAATGGACAAAAGCATAGATCGTCCCTGGGTGGGCTTGAACCACCAACCTTTCAGTTAACAGCCGAACGCGCTAACCGATTGCGCCACAGAGACAACTATGAATTTATTTAATTTTTTTGGTCTGCCTGGTTAGCTCAGTCGGTGGAGCATAAGTCTCTGGAGTTGCTCGAACTGAGAGGTTGGTGACAATAAATGAAAGGTTGCATGTCAGCCTGGCTAGCTCAGTCGGTAGAGCATGAGACTCTTGGGTCGTGGTTTCGAGCCCCACTTGGGGCGCATAATATTTTCATCACTTTCTACAATTTCAATTATTTTTTTTGTCTGCCTGGTTAGCTCAGTAGGTGGAGCATAAGACTCTGGTGTTGCTCGAACTGAGAGGTTGGTGACAATAATTGAAAGGTTGCATTTCAGCCTGGCTAGCTCAGTCGGTGGAGCATGAGACTCTTAATCTCAGGGTCGTGGGTTCGAGCCCCACGTTGGCGCATAATGTTTTCATTACTTTCTACAATTTCAATTCACTCAAAACTTTTCGATCAATGGACAAAAGCATAGATAGTCCCTGGGTGGGCTTGACCCAACAACCTTCCAGTTAACAGCCGAACGCGCTAACCAATTGCGCCACAGTGACAACTATGAATTTATTAAAATTTTTGGTCTGCCTGGTTAGCTCAGTCGGTGGAGCTTAAGACTCTGGTGTTGCTCAACATAGAGGTAGGTGACAATAAATCAAGGGTTGCATATCAGCCTGGCTAGCTCAGTCGGTAGAGCATGAGACTCTTGGGTTGTGGTATCGAGCCCCACAATTTCAATTCACTCAAAACTTTTCGATCAATGGAGAAAAGCATAGATTGTCCCTGGGTGGGCTTGAACCACCAACCTTTCAGTTAACAGCAAAACACGCTAAGTCGGTAGAGCATGAGACTCTTAGGTCGTGGTTTCGAGCCCCACTTTGGGCGCTTAATATTTTCATCACTTTCTACAATTTCAATTTACTCAAAACTTTTCGATCAATGGACAAAATTATAGATCGTCCCTGGGTGGGCTTGCACCACCAACCTTTCAGTTAACAGCCGAACGCACTAACCGATTACGCCACAGAGACAACTATGAATTTATTTAATTTTTTGGTCTGCCTGGTTAGCTCAGTCGGTGGAGCATAAGTCTCTGGAGTTGCTCGAACTTAGAGGTAGGTGACAATAAATGAAAGGTTGCATATCAGCCTGGCTAGCTCAGTCGGTAGAGCATGAGACTCTTAATCTCAGGGTGGTGGGTTTGAGCACCATGTCGGGCGCATAATGTTTTCATCACTTTCTACAATTTCAATTCACTCAAAACTTTTCGATCAATGGAGAAAAGCATAGATAGTCCCTGGGTGGTCTTGAACCATAAACCTTTCAGTTCACAGCCGAACGCGTAACCGATTGCGCCACTTAGACAACTATGTTTTTTATTAAAATTTTTTGTCTGCCTGGTTAGCTTAGTTGGTGGAGCATAAGACTCTGGTGTTGCTCGAACTGAGAGGTAGGTGACAATAATTGAAAGGTTGCATGTCAGCCTGGCTAGCTCAGTCAGTAGAGCATGAGACTCTTGGGTCGTGGTTTCGAGCCCCACTTTGGGCGCATAATATTTTCATCACTTTCTACAATTTTAATTCACTCAAAACTTTTCGATCAATGGAGAAAAGCATAAATCGTCCCTGGGTGGGCTTGAACCACCAACCTTTCAGTAAACAGCCAAACGCACTAACCGATTACGCCACAGAGACAACTATGAATTTACTTAATTTTTTCGTCTGCCTGGTTAGCTCAGTCGGTGGAGCATAAGTCTCTGGAGTTGCTCGAACTGAGAGGTAGGTGACAATAAATGAAAGGTTGCATGTCAGCCTGGCTTGCTCAGTCGGTAGAGCATGAGACTCTTAATCTCAGGGTCGTGGGTTCGAGCCCCACGTTGGGCGCATAATGTTTTCATCACTTTCTACAATTTCAATTCACTCAAAACTTTTCGATCAATGGACAAAGGCATATATCGTCCCTGGGTGGGCTTGAACCACCAACCTTTCAGTTAACAGCCGAACGCACTAACCGATTGCGCCACAGAGACAACTATGAATTTATTAAATTTTTTGGTCT